TATAATTTCGCTCTGAAAGTCTTTATAGTCGTGAAACCACTTATATACAGTAAGGATCAGCATCACTGCCATGTTGTTGTGGGTAAGAAGGTCAATGGATAGTTTTGGATGATCACTAACCGCTGTCGAACACCGCCAAGAACATGTATACGATTGCAGCATTGCGTGTGCTCTCGAAGTAACAGGTTCCTAGGGGAGGCTCCTCTAACAGTCATATTAGAACGATTTTCGTTCGTGAACACTAATGAACTCACCTCCTGGAATCAGCATTGTAGGAATGAGGTCTGCAGCAATAGCGCCGGCAACTGACAACTATGCAATAATAAAAATCTACGCTGTCATTTCCGCTCTGCAAAACACGCACCACGATATAAACCAATAACCCGATCAGCAACCTTTTACTCTTTCGCCAGAATGCCCAGGTCCGAATAACCAGCAAGGCTACCAAGCAAGTGAGTTCCACTGGGCTCTTAGCATGCATGTAGAACGCGCACATTCCGCAGCAACGATACATATGACGTGAATGACTGAAATTCACATGGTTTAAGTTGCATGAATTTTGAAAAATGAACCGTTTGGCAGGTAGACTCACTATATCCTTCCACAGTAGAGGCACACTTCCCCCATGCAATCAGCTTAGCGTGAAAATTATTCACCCTCCAAGCTTACCTGATTACTGACACGTATTGCGTCTAAGATATGCCCATCAGCAACACACAAAATAAGAAGAATCGGAATGGGTCACTCGCCATATGCAGTCATTCCGGCACCTGCGAAAGGCAAATATCGGGAAATGATGAACATGATACGGGGTATATCCCATGGCTTGAACCAAGTCCATCGCACCTGTGGGGAGTGGTCAGAACAACACTTGCGAACAGACAGATATTTCCTCGACCTCTTCGGAAAAAGTGATGCAATAATCAAATACCTGTAACGTCGAAAGGAATTTGAGGTAGAAATACAAGAAATGCGTTTGATACTCACGAGAATTGCAAGACTGCCCACTGAAAACAATAGTCAATGCTGCCGTTCAGTTTTCGGACGATCCGCGGACACTCACAATTGACGTACTAAATCGGACATACTGTTGATCTCGAGTTTATCAGATGCAAGCTCCATTTACTCACCTTGACCGTCTGCAACTTCGTTATGTCTGAGACCGATAGTAGGGAAGACATGTTAGGATATTATCTATGCGCCTTGTAGTACCTGCCCGGGGCCAAGTTCTGAATGGAGCGATACATCTGCGAGCATTACTTAAGTACGATGTTTGATAGGCACTAAGTCGATGGTAAGTATTAATTAGTGAATTGAAATTGCCCTGGTTATTTTAAGCCCCCAAACCGATACTACACAGCCTTGCGGCGATATTAACCAGATAGTACCTGCCAAGTACGAGAGGCTCCATGCACTATAATCCGAAACTGCTTGATATGCCGAGGATTGCAATGACTGAAAGCGCTGTCACTCTCATCGCGGGCACAGTCGAAAATAATATGGAGCCTATAAATGCAACTTCAGTTTTGGTGGGAAAAAAGTAACACAACCTACGGGAAATTGAACCAGCAAAGATGATTCTGGAATTTCGATTGAAGGAGGCTCCTCGACGACTGAGTACTAAAATATTGCATCAGATGCATCAGTGCTAGGCTAGATCATTGCTTGCTTGATGTCATGATCAATAATGTTACAGCCCGAAACCCTAACATGGTACTAGGCAATCAGGTTACTTTCCGAGTCATTTAGGTCTCCTTCTATTAAAACTTTAGAGCTGTGTACCCCGTATGTTATAGTGACAGAGTCATACTATTAAAGGATGGGTGTGAGCGAGCGGGGGAACTTGGTGGACGTAGTACAACGATCGTATTCGTGCTTGGTAATCCAGCACTTACATCGCCGAAGTGAAATTTGAGGGATATCTGATTGATCAAAGAGTTTCAGCATGAATTCACGTAGAAAGGGAATGTGCATCTAGGGATACATCGATAAGACCAAAGTGGAAACTGTTAATGGGATCACAAAGCAGTGACCCACGCGAAATGTTTGAACGCCGAAGATCGAACTATTCAATCAATTCATTGTTCTAACACGGCCTTGAACAGCGCCCAATTGGCAAGTTGCCCTTGTATTATAACAAACATTTCCCCCAAGATTAGCAAAGTTTTTTGACCTTGTTTGAAATCCGCTCTACTTACGAGAAAAACCCTTCTTCTAATTCATGTACACGCTGATGAGTACAGATGCGACCTTTGAAAAGTGCATACATGCGTCGTATCCAATTCCCTGTCATAAAACACGATCGACGTGTGTAGCGACAAGGGCAGTCGTACAAAGAAAGTAGGAGGTACAAAAAAGAAAAGAAAGGGGCGGTTGTACAAAAGTGGATAGCGTTGTTGTACCAAGAAAGAACGATCAAATGGTTTAGACAGAAACGGAGGCAGTAGGAACGAAAGCGATGACGAAAAGGCGGTGATGGTACACGCTTGAATGCGAAGTAAATGTGTAATGATCCAGTTTGTGGTTCACAAGTAATGATGGAATGGAATAGATGCACTGGTGATTAGAAGATCAAGCTCATCGGCGGGCTTGACGGGCTAAAGCCGGTTGGGAGAGGGAGACTCGGCGAGAAATCTGCCGTTCGTTGAAGGAAGAATTTCCTCCATCTGTGAAAAACTGTCGCAAAGACCGATATTAATGAGATCAAGAAACGGAAAAATAGGGTGTGTGAACGGCGTGTTCTATGGCACGAGCGAGAGTGACAGCGGTCGCCTAAAGCGGAGAACGAAGGAGCGTGCATTATCGCGCACAATGACGAACGAGCGAGTTTGTAGGCGTCCTAATAAATAAAGAATGAAATGTGGATCATCAGCAGATACATGGTGAGAGACATGCAAGACATACCTTCGACGATTGGAATACCAAAAAGACAGGTCAGGAGCGAAGGGATAGGCGGGAACGAGATAGGCGGAGGAGATAGGAGGGAGGTCAGAGTGTGGGGTGGAGGCAAACAGGACGAACAGAAAAAAACTCACAAACAAAGTACCAAAACTAGGTCAGTTTTGAACAGGGCGACAGCAAGAGAAGAATAAGAAAAATAAGTAACCTACGAACGTCGAACAAAAAAAGGCACTTTAAAGAAAGAAATACGTCAAACGGAAAAGAAAGATATCAAAAGAATTTATCAGATGAAGTAGATAGAAAAATCGGGGCCGCAAAGACATACAAGTGCATCGAAATCCAATATGTGGCCGCTAACTATGGAGGGCGCCAGAGGAGACGATGATATCAAAGTTGAAGCTTGAGGAAGTATCGAAAGATAGGATAAGATAGATGTGCTGCGAGCACCGCTCACATGCACACCAGACCATCAAAATGAAATCAAGCAACCTGGAACGCACTCCCAAGCGCAATCATCCGCCGGACAAAGTGACATGAGTCCTGCAAATGTGTTTGCAACAAGGGTAGTCACGTGTCACAGCTATTTCACATCACTGCCATTTCCTCGCAGCTTGATTCTTACATACTCGAAATAATATGCGTCCGCTAGTTTGCAAGTCGACGAGGCAACCAAAAACCTCCCCACCATGAGACCCGGACAATCGTTGAGCGCTATGTCTTCGTGGAGGCTCCGCTACCGATGGGATATTACAAGCTTGTTTCGAGCGGCGAGTAATGCACGTCACTGGTGTGTGGTTGTTTGCCTGCTTGACAATGATTCATACTTCTTTGGCAGGCTTTCCATAGCCCATATTTGTCTACGCTAGCACCAGATTTTGCATTCATAGTTTTCCCTTCCCGTTCGTTTCGACAAGGGGCTTGGCTCCCGCAACAAACCCATTCGATGTAAATGCGCCTTCTGGATCACCCAGCAGTGGAAAGGTCGTCATCGCTCCTGATGGTTCTATACGCACGGCCAAATTCGACCGCAGCCCGACTGACATTGTCCTTCCTCTCACAGACATCCTTTAATCACGTCCAACGAAAGATCAAGTTTTTCAAAATCACAAGCCCGTTGGTTTGGACTTGCGAGAGTCCATGACGATCGTTCGCCTTGGACAGCCTTTTGGCACAGTTCTGCTGGTAGCGCAACAGCGTTATGGGGAGAGATAATCGCGTCGGATCACAGTGACATCGCACGGGGCAAGGACGTGGCTTCTGTTGATAATATCACAGTTGTTAGGATGTTGGAGATGTTGTAGTATACACTTTGACGTATGCAGATTTCTGACGCGTTTCATTCATACCCTGACGGCACTTGCGTGGGACAATCTCCCAAGGTATTTGTATTATATCGATACCAATCACTCGTCATACACCAGTCACGGTGCGTCCTTGCTATCTTCATCGTTTCCACTTGGCTTCCACCCCCAACAAATCATTCCTACAGGAACTCCTTGCTTATTCGGCTTCGAAATGGGCTCTGCAGGATGTTTGCGAACCGATGGCTGCAAAATTCGCTGCAGGTTCTGAATCCTAACTCGCCAATGACATTGTAACTAGATCAGACTAACGTTCCTGGCATATAGGATACACCACCCACCATGTGGACAATTTGCATCGTCAGGCTGCCACTGTTTCCAACCTTGCACAACCTTGCGCCATGCTGCATGCGGCGTGTTTCGCTACACGAGCTGCTGTGAGTGCTTGTCTCAAATATTATAGTACAGTGTTCGACAGAACTTTCTAATTATTTCGCACAGTGACCTGTGGCCTCTCGCCGTCTCAGTGACGCATAACTACATCGGCATATTTGTGAACATGCTTCATTTTTACAGCGATTCATCGTGTTAAATATCCTTTTCCTCAGCGATGGGTGAGATCCTGATCCCAAACGAAGGGGTCTTGTGCACTAATGTACGCCAACTGTGTGCTTGGCAATGTGGTGCGCGTACGTGTTGGGTATGATGGTGTGTGTATATATACAACGGAGCTTTAACACTATTTTACAGGCCCTGTTGCCTATCCTGAGTTATCCCGCGGACATTCTATGCGCATGTTTGCCTGAGTTGCTCGTCTTCGGGCTATTCCTGCAGTTGTTTGTCTCTGCGAGTAACCCCCTGAAAATACATATTCATAGTAAATGGACCTGAGACACAGGAACTTAAAGGGAAACGCTGGATGCTAGCTGTTCTCTTTAATGCCTCTTTAGGCTGGCCCGTGGCAGGTGCGATTTTGATTGTTCGCTTCAACAATGATGGCAATGATAGCTTTATTGTTTCAGGCATTATGATCACTGGGTGCATGTCACAATCACTCCTAACTCGTATGCGACCGTCGATGCTAACCTACTGTCCGTCGTGCTTTTGCCCTCACTTCAAAATTTTGGGGCAGCTGCATGGTGGGGTATTCGCCGTGACAAATGTTGAGAACACAAGACAAAAGGGTTCTATCGTTTCATTCAGCCTCTTTTACGAGATGCGCGCTTATTTTCTGCCCTTGGAATTTTATCACTGCACCCGAATGTACATGCCATTAGCGTGCCTTTGCGCCGTATATTTCTTCCATCCCTTCACTCGTATACATTCATTATGATCTCGATCAGATTCACGTGTTCGGTTCAGTTTGGCGCGTAACTTCCGAAATTCTTGTCTAGGAAAATAGCCCTGGCGCTCCCAGTCGGCACTTCAGCAACCCCTCAATTGACGATAGGGATCCCACTCTGACTTTTTATGTAGCGTTCAGGGCCGAGAATCAAACCTTGCTCGTACGGTGCGTATCGATTACGTTCCCGAATCGAACTAAGGCTAGTACTTACAATGTGACAGAGGTAAGTTACACGTGCATTCGAAGTTTCGGTGCTGCAAGACTGAAATGAAGTAGCGTTGCGCCATCAGAACTCAGGTGCAGCCAACACGAGGCAGCATAAACCCTTTACATGGCTTATATATCCTCGCGATTGTTTCTGACTCAGATAAGTCAGTTACCCTCCTACTGCTACTTA